GGGTTTACACCGGCTAGATTCAAGGACTGGGCAGTAGCCCAGTGGCAAGGTCGTTTGTGGCGCACCTTGCAGAACAAGCCTACAATTAAACCAATCAATCATGATGCATTTGGGCAAACAATCGAGGATATAAATAACTCGGTGTGCTAGTCAAGAAGAAATGCCACATAGAAGCAATTGCAAGGACAATAGTGTGGACTTTACCCCCTGTCTACGACACATGCATGGCTGCATGTCGGCAGCAGTAAAATTGGTTTTACTGGCAAGAGCAATCGTAACTTAGAAATCTACTCCCTTCGTTTCTAAATATATGTTTTTCTAGAAATTTCACTATGAACTACACATGAAGTAAAATGAATAAATCTACACTCTAAAATATGTCTATATACATCTGTATGTAATTTACAGTAAAATTTCTAAAAAGATTTATATTTAGGAACGAATAGATCTGTAGTACGTAAGCAGTGAGCTCGAAACATCTAATACGTCAGCTATGACCTACCTAAGTCGGTATGTACAACTATATAAAGGGCCGATGCCCATCGGTTTGTAATCAGGTCATTCCAGTTTCAATACAAGGCAAGCAGCCTCAAGTAGTACTCCGTTCGAGTAAATGTGTGTGCGCGCGCGTGTGTTTTATATACTGCACTAGCTGCAGTGCTTCGGTCAATCCTTCGACAAGTATTTTCGAACGAAAGGAGTATAAATCAGTACACCATTAGTAGTTCGGGCTAATAAATAGCTTACAAACTGTGTGATCCCTTATAACTTGTCATGCCATGGAAGTGAGAGGTATAATTAAACAAAAAAAATATGTTTCGAACAAAGATCATATGTACTCCCCCATTCGTAAATATAGCAGCCCTATCCTAGCATGGATCTATGTCCGTTGCTTGGAGATGGACTTGCATAGGTCGAGATCGTTGTTGGTGTCGTGGTGGCATCGATGGCGGAGGACCTGCTAAGGTTGACACCACAATCTGCTCTGAAGATGGACCAGTGGAAGATGGCGATGACGACACATGTGAGTGCGTCGGACCGGTTTGTACCCGGGACCCAGTATGTGGCTCAGTAGGGCCCTCCGACTTTAGATGTTAGGCTTAGGTGAGAGGTCTGGGTATGTGACCCAGTTTGCACCTCTTCATCTTATGGATAGGAATAGCGGCAGATGTTGCCGAGATGGCGAATTCAGGTATATTGTTGTTCTACTCTGTAAGGTCCTCCAGAATAATCAATAAAATGGCCGCATGCATCTTCCAGATGTAGAGGCCGGGGGTCGTCCTCCTTTCCTAGAAAAAAAATCCTAAATATAATGCGCATCAGTTTTTTGAGAATATTCTAAAATGTAGTGCGTAGTTTGAGTCCAGACCAGTTTTAGACGAAATTAACCCTGCACCAACCCACCCAACGCATCGCCTCCTTACCTTATTTATTCTCGTACACATGGGATGGGACAGACCAAGATGATGGGAGGGCACGGTAGCTTTTCTCCAATTTCGTAGTCTATTGACGCAGTGGGCACATGGGTCTGCAACAAGATTGAGGGTTTTTCCGTCCAAAATATAACGCCAGCACATACATTGGTACATGAGCTCCTTTCTATGCACATTACTGACACGAATCCTCTGACGTGGCTAACCCTGCCTTACCCTGCCTTTGGGTCGCTGACAAGTAGGCCTCACGCTTGGTGGGATCCATGTGTCAGTGTCTCAATGGCAGGTTAGCCAACATCAGGGGATCCTCGTCCGCACATTACATTTAGGAATGAAGGGAGACACATCAGATGCATTGTGTCACTTACAATGATGGTGTTTCGCCTTTTGACTTGGAGATGGCCGTTGAGAAGATCATATGAGTCGGAGAAGGCATAGTACGGTGTGGAGATTAATAGAAAGGGATTCGGTGGAGAAGATGAAGAGGGTGAGAGAAATGAATCGATAGTGCTGAGAAGCCGATGAGATGGATCTGGGAAGATGATAGGGTTGCAGTGCCACAACGCGGTCTTTTTTTTTTCTTCGGGGGAGGGAAGCTGAGTTTGTTTTTTTTTTCGGGGGAGGGAAGCTGAGTGTTTGACCGGTCACTCCTCCCGGTTCCATTTAGACCCGGGTATAAAGCCCACCCGAATGTGCAAAGAGCCCTCCCGCCTGGACCAAAAGCAACGAGCTATCAAGCCCACAACGTGGCTCCATCAACCCAAAGTGAGAAAAATACTTCGTACAATAATTTTTGGATCGCGTCCGTCATATCTACTCTCCGCCTTTTTGCCGGTTTCTCTATCCCACCCACTCCTTGGCGCGAAGGAAATTTCAGCTCGCACCCGCGAGGCCACAGCCGTTGCCGTCGCCGCATCTCCCTGCCGTAAATTGCTACCCCCAGCCGCCCTGCGCCTCGAGTAGCACCGCTCCCCCCGCCCCCTGCTAAACCTTCTGCACCAATTTTGGAGGCGGGGGGTGCCCATTTTCCCCCACGGGCGAGCGGTCGGCGCCGACGCAATGGATCCGCCCCGGAGCTCGCCGCGCAGCCTCGTAGCAGGCGAATTCGTTTGGCCTGGATGATGGTGAGCCACGGAACTGACAGAGGTGCAACCGTGCTTGCCGGCGCCGATGATTTAGAGCCATGGTGAAGAAGAGGTCTAGCAAATTGCTTCGGTCGGCAGCGGAGAAGAAAGGGGCGGCTGACTTCATTCCAGCCGATGGAATGACTTTCATGGAAGGTAATTTGAAGCCCGTTTGTTGTTTTAATCTTAGGGGCGGTGATATTTTACAAAAAAACTTAGGTGTGGATTTATTTCTTAGATGGATGATTGGAGTTATTCGTCGTCATCTTCGTTGGATGATTCAGACATGGAGGAGACGATTTTGGACAATGATGTCGTCCACCTTGTTGCATCTCATCGACAAATTTAAAGTCGATCCAAAGGGAAAGCACCGCGGATCGACGGTTGGCCGACTTTGCATTTCGCACAACCGAGCTCTCGGCCACAACATGCTCATTAAGGACTACATCACCGAGGTACCGACATATCTGGCTCATCTTTTTCGTAGGCGATATCGAATGTGTGGGTCTCCTTTTGTTAGCATAGTCGAATCTTGGGCTTAGTTCATACCAAAAAAATATCGACGGCAACGAGAATGATAGCATATGGCGTTCCGGCTGACTACCCCGATGGGTATCTTTGCATTGGAGAAGATACGACACTCAAATGCGTTCGAATGTTTGCGAAGACATTGATCTGGATTTTTGGTCCGGGGTATTTTCGAGCTCCAAATCAGGAGGACATAAATAAATTGATGCTGATTAATGAAGAAAGAGGATGGCTGGGCATGCTTTGAAGTGTGGATTGCATGCATTGGAGGTGGAAGAATTGCCTGGTGGCTTGGCGGGGCAATACATCGGTCACAAACATAAACTAACTATTGTGTCGAAGCAGTGGCTTCACACGACTTGTGAATTTGGCATTGCTACTTTGGTTGTCGGGGTCACTCAATGATATCAATGTGTTGCAGCAATCTCCTCTTTTTGCTCAGCTAGCTAGTGGAAAAGCTCTAGTTTGCAACTATACTGTCAATGGACATGACTATACTATAGGGTACTATCTTGCTGCCGGTATTTATCCTCCATGGTCAACATTTGTGAAGATCATAAGTGACCCGAAAACTAACAAGCGCATTTTTTGCCCAAGCACAAGAAGCATACCGAAAGGATATTGAAAGGGAATTTAGCGTGTTGCAACCTCGGTTTGCCATTTTTTGAGGTGTTGCTCGCTTACGGGATAAGAAATCCTTCAGCAATATCATGACTATATGTGTAATTCTACACAAGATGATCATCGAGGATGAGAGGGATTTAAACTAGAATTTCGATATGACAATGTTGGTAGCCCTGTGAAGCCTGCCAGTGACGCATATGAGATCAATGCATTTCTTGAGACCTACCGAAAGATTGAGAACAGTGCTTCGTACTACCAGCTCCATGATGATTTTGTTGAATATCAGTGGCAACTCTATGGGAGATAGAGTCCCATTTTATTCTAATAAATTTCATATGTATTTGTGTGTGATTTAAATAATTATTTGCCTTCCCCCCATTTGTTGTGGTATTAACTATTCAAATTTAAACATTTGTTGTAATGAAGACGGTTGTTGTATTGTGATTTGCCTTGGACCATTTATAAGTTTGATTTACATTTTGATTCTATTAAGTTTATATTTGTTGAAAAACATGAATTTGCAAAGTTCCTGAAAATTTGTGGTACCGCGAGGCTTCCGGCACGGATCATATCCTGTAAAATCATGTCGCAAAAATTTTGCGGGACAAGTTTACATGATTTGTTACACCGGAGGCCTCACGGTACCGCATTTGTTTTTTTTTTCTTTTACATGCGGCCCTTGTATCAAATTTGCGGGATGTGATTTTAGCGGATCTGCTCTAAGAGTTTCATCAGAGGTCCTGTATGCAAAAGTCGAAGCACTTATATTAAATTTAGTTTTCTTTGGGGTCCTTCTAAAGGATGTGATGTAACCGAAATTGCAAACTCATGTCAGCTCCTAGGTCATTCGGGACCCTTATACAATTATTTCGCAATGGCAACACAACAAGCTCGATGACTAGGATGACATTTTTTCCCCCAAATAAAATGAAATATTCAAAGAAGAGAAAGAGTGATTCGTAACCATAATTTACCTCAAGACGGAGGAAAGCACACGGTTGCGGAATTCATCCTGGAGTTAAAAACTTAAAATATGGAGCGAAAGGGACCAGCGGCTTATATAACGAGTTCGTTATACAGGCGAGCGCCCGCCCATTCCTGCTCCCTCCCTCGCTCCCTCGCCGTCTCCGCCGGCGAAAATCTCCGCCCGCGACGCGACAAGTGCAAGGCGCTCGACCAGCCGCCGCGTCGCCTCGGATCATCCTCCGGCCACCTCACTGGCAATGAGGTGCCCGCCATATATTCGCCGCGGGCGCCTTCGAGATGCCCCCCGCGCCAGCCGCCCCACCGAATGTACTCCGTGCTCTCGAGAATATACTCCGCGGCGCGCAGCCGTCTCCAGGTACTAATAGACTCGCTCCCGGCCGGCCGCGATGGCAGCAGGGACTCGCATCGCCGCCGCCGCCGCCGGGACGACCGGAGCAGGAGCAGCGGCACCAGCACCCCCATCAGCACGCCCGCGTCCATGTACTCCGCGCTCAGCCCGGTGGACACCCACGCCGTCGCCACCGCCGCGGCGGCCAAGCTCGCGATGGACGCCCCAGCCGCCGGGTCGGCCGCCATGCCCATCTCCCTGTCGCCGCTCCTCCCGCCGCCGCAGATGGTGGTGGTGGCGCTCGACGCCACCCGCGACCACCGCGAGGTGGAGGTCAGGATGTCGCTCAGGGCGCTCGTGGCCCGGGGCGACATACTTCGCGGCGGGGACTCCCTCCTCGTGCTCGGCGTTCTCCACTCCGTCACCAATCCGAGTGAGGGCCGAGCTCCCCCTTTAGGTCTCTATTTCCCGTCGGGTTACGGTCTCTTAGCCATTCTGCTCGACCTAACCCACTCTTGTTTAAATTGCTCTTTCTCGACCCTACATTCATCATTCGTGTGCTGAATTGAACTTCCCAAAAATGCTTCCTAGTTGCGATCGACCTCTGTAGTTGAGTATTGTGTTCATGCTTATACATAGGTGATAGACTGGTAGATTTGGAATGTCAGTGTGTCACATTGAAGTTGATTCTTAATTTCTGTCACCCATGTGCTAATTAGATTATCATTATAGTGGTCAGGTAGAAAATTTTATATGATGTCCTCTTCTTGTTAGAGTGTGTGTTAAGTTTGTTCATGCATGTCTGACAGATGCTTCCATGTATGTGCCGATTGGCTTTCAGTCCTGTTGGTCACTGTTTCACTCGTCATTTGGTAATAGATGTCCCTTGAAGAAGCATCATGGCATTTAGAATCACCAACATTGTAGAGAAGAGTGCCACTATTGAGCTTCATAAATGGTATAATGACAAGGAAAATCAACTTTAAAACAGCAGAATGAAACACATTCTGTGTAATAAATTACTAAAGTCAAGGTTGCATAAACATGTTTGTATGGGTGCAATTAGACTTTCCATTCTTGTTGGATAAGATAGACTGTTCATTCTTGTTTCAAGCGTATTATCTGAGTCAAGAAATTCCAGTAATACAGTGCTCTGTCCATTTTTTTTCTCAATCTGGCATTGAATTGTAGTGAGTGGTGCTATCTCATCCCCCTGATTATTGCTGTTGTTTGGGAATTTGCAGTCACTGTTCACTTTGTAGAGTATTAGCTCCTACTACTTCAAATTTACTGAAAAACTTATATCTGTTGTACTTCTTTTGCGTTATTAGTGGGATACCAAACCAAAGCATCTAGTGATTCTTTTGCCGGGACGAGCTTGCGGTACCTAGGTGATCAGGTTGCGAAGAAAGCTGAATACTACAAAGACAAGCTCCTCCAGGATGTGGAGGAGCTTCGCCAAGTGGGGGTGAGTAACATTTTCCTACACTCATTTTTCTGTCAGGATAAGTAGCTGCTTTACAAGTTGGACTTGCAACATTCTTGAAAACATTGGTTACATTCTGATGTTCATATTTTTTTTATTTCAGATTAGTGTGACCCTCAAAGTATGCCCTGGATCACCAGCGAAGGTTGTCATTATCCATGAAATCAATTCAAGTAAAGCTGCTTGGGTTGTACTAGATAGGTACTTGCATCATTTATTGTTTAATCATTTTTGGCATGCTATATTCCTAACGGAGCATTTGTTTGTTCAGTAGTTAAACTGGTATTGATTTATAATGAATTTATAGGCACTTCAGACGAGATTTCAAGCACTTCGAAAAGCACATAGCCTGTAAAGTTGCAGCATTTCAAGATAACCTGTCAGTGCAGACCTTGAAGTCAATTAGAACAAATCTATCAAGCAAAAGTATGGGGGAGATGAAGGACCTACAAAACTTAGTAGTGTCACTTGATCTAAGTTCCAAAACACTAGATACTGACAAGGTCCGTGTGTCGGTCAGGTCATCGCCTGTAAGTTACTTTGCCTCTCTAACCAATCATGAGATGTACTACACCCCCAGTGTGGTTGGTAGCAGCATCCAAGACTTCACACCGTCAATGAGCGTCGCGTCCATCCCGGTGATCGATGAGACTGAATTCAATGGTATGACATATTTCTTCAATTAAGCACAATCATAAAGTTGCAACTAGCTTATCTATTTTGCCGAAATGTTAAAACGGGACCTAGTAGTGCTTAAAAGGTAGAAAAGGTCTTTCTCATTCTAGTAGCTCATTCATGCAGAATTCAAGAACTTGCTTAAATATTTGTTCAATGTTGACCAAGTAGCTGTAGTTTTACCTTCCAAAACATAATGTTACACAGAACATCTACAATTTCATATTTACTAATACTACGCACGTTCCCCTGATCATTACAGCAAAATCTATTGAAGATAACATGATCGGCCACTACGATTCATCAGAAAGACCAGTTCTATGTGCTGGTTGTGGGCTAAGATCAGTTCTTTACATCAAGGAATCCATGAAATATCCTTTCTCAGAGATCCAATCTGCAACATCTGACTTCTCAAGTGAGAATTTGGTGGGCGAGGGCGGATTTGGGCATGTGTACAAAGGGAAGCTCAAGGATGGCCAGGTCATTGCAGCTAAGTTGCGTAAAGAAGCTAGTTCGCAGGGCTATACCGAGTTCTTCTCTGAAGTGCAAGTGCTCAGCTTTGCCCGGCATCGGAACATTGTCATGTTGCTTGGGTATTGTTGCAAAGAAAGCTACAACATCTTGGTGTACGAGTATATATGCAACAACTCTCTTGAGTGGCATTTATTTGGTACGTGCTTGGTATGCATAAAGTTAATTCATAATTTGAAGATGGTGACAAGCATAACCTTACCTTTGCTCTTTGCTTTTGCCACTTGATGAAATAGACAAGGCAGCTGGCTTACTGGAGTGGCACAAGAGGCATGCTATTGCCCTTGGTATAGCAAAGGGGCTGCGCTTCCTGCATGAAGAGTGTCGTGCCGGTCCAATAATTCACCGGGATTTGCGCCCAAGCAATGTACTGCTGACACATGACTTTGTTCCTATGGTAAGCTAGACCTCACTTCTTACTGGTACATTTGAAGATGCAAATCCTCATGAGTTCTGTTGTGATTACGTTCCGTCTTCCACAGCTTGGGGATTTCGGTCTTGCTAAATGGAAGGCTGTCAATGCATCTATTCATACAAGGGTTCTGGGGCAATCAGGGTGAGCATAAAACTCTAGTTCTTCCAATATTGTAAACTCTGTTCCATTCTATGCTACCCTTTTGCTCCTGTATTTCTGACAATGCCAGGATTTTCTTGTCATGTCCATCAGGTACTTGGCGCCTGAGTATGCTGAATATGGCATAGTTTCTGTCAGAACAGATGTGTATGCCTTTGGGATCGTTCTTTTCCAGCTGATATCGGGTCGCAAGGTGCTCGAGGAACATGAAGGACAGTGCACACACATACTGCAATGGGTATTCTTTTTTGTGGATTTTTTTTCCCAACTTGCTTACAGTATACTTGCACCATTCATTTTCGCGTATCTCTGTAAATTTTCAGGCAGAGCCTTTGGTCGAGAGTCTTGCACTGCACGATCTAATCGACGAGCGCATTGCAGATACATACGACACGTATGGGCTGTATCATCTAGCCAGAGCAGCGTATCTCTGTGTCAGGACAAACCCGGAACAGCGGCCTTCAATGGGGGAGGTTGTCCGTCTTATCGAGACAGAGAATGAGCATATCAGGGATTTGTCCCGACAATTCATCCCACATTTCACCAAGTAAGAAAAATGAGATACTACGTAGAGCCCTCCCGGATGAGATACCTGAGGTTGGCTCTAGACGGGAGCCGAACCCAGGTCAGCAAGGATGCGCCACTGCGACCTTACCAGTCACATTTTACGAAGTGAAGAAACAGTCCGAGGAAATTCCTGAATACTGATTTCATCGCTGAAGTTTCTATGATGCTTGAAGAGGGATATCTCCGGTTCTCACCGGTGAAATCGCGACACGCATGTTACTGTCTGCTCCCCTGTTTTCTCCTTTCTCCTCCCCTTCTGTTTTGTTCTTCCACGCATAAAATGGTGTGTACATAGGGAACGAGTAGTTCCCTTATTTTTTTCTGCCTTATGTTTGTAAATGAAATGCCGTTCTACCCGGGTTACTTTTTTTGAGTTCGTGTTCCCTGGCCCTCATCTTTGCTGGCTAGTGTTCTTGTTGTGCATTTGTTGCTGTTGAAGAGTCTTGATCTGCAGGATGCAGGACAAGCCGTCGCGCCGCGACTTTTTTCCGTTGAAATGTTTTCTCAGCCCACTTCTTCTTCGGTACAACCCCCTGAAAACATCAACGGTCCAGATCGTCCTATACCCCTTCGCCTGAAAACTTAAAAAAGGGTAGGATGGTCATTGCCCCTGCCCCTCCCCCAGTCCCGCCCCCGCGACGTACCCGCGCGCCCGTCGACGTATGTACGTGTACGCGTTTTTTTTACTGTGGCGACATACGTTCTTTTTACCGCGTAGGTGGTCAAGCACGTCGGTGGTCAAACCGCGCGTCGCCCGGTGAAAGCGCGTCGTGGCGCGTGAACTGCGGCCCGCCGCCCCGTCCCGTCCGTCCCCTCGTCTGCCGCCCCGCCGCCCCGTCCCCTCGTCTGCCGCGCCGCCGCCCTCGACTGCCGTCGAATTGATAGGCCAACGACCCGTCCGCCCGCTGCCCCGCCGTCTCCCTATAAATCTCACCCCCGTCCGCCCGTCGCTGCAAGCACCGCTCCCCGCCCGTCGCCGCAAACACCGCTCCTCTCCCGTCTCCACCTCCCAAAAGGCCGCCGGCGACATGTCGTTCCACCGCGGCAGCAGCTCCGGCACCGGCGGCGACGACGGACCCAGCGCGTGGCCGTCGAGCCTGAGCACGCCGGAGACGGAGGAGCTTTACCGGTTCGGGCTCCTCGTGCCGCCGGGTTGCCGTCTTCCGCACGACTGGAAGCTCGACAAGGACGGCTACCCGACGCGCGGGCCCGGCGCCACCGCGGAGGAGAAGCGGACCGGCGGCCGCAACAACATCGTCGGCCGTCACGCGTTCTGGGACGGCAAAGACTACGCCGCCGTCATCGGCGCGTACCGGCTGGCGGAGTCCGGCGTCACGCCTGACCTCATCGGCGACCGTCGCCGCCTTCTTGTCCCGCGCCCCCGTCCAGCAGCGCGTGGCCGTCGGGCTCCTCCACCACCTGCGCCGGCGCCCGCCGACCCCCCCGCCCCGCCGGAGGTGGAACTGCCGCCGGAGCAGTTGGTTCTTCGGGAGGACGGCGATCCCGACGATACGCCGGGTTACCTCGTCGCCCTGCGCGCGTCGGCGGCTGCAGAGGCGGCGACGGCTGCAAGGGAGGCCGCCGAGCAGGCGGCAGCGATCCAGGCGGCGGCGGCGATTCCGCCAGTGGTCCCGCAGGCGGAGGCGAAGGCGCCGGAGTCGTCGGACGACGATGTCATCGACTGGGAGCGATTAGCCCAGGTCAGCGACGACGATGACGATGACGGCGGGGGTGACGGCGGTGACGTCGGGGAGGTCATCGATCTGTTGGCTAGCGACGAGGAGGAGGAGTAGTTTTTTTTTAAATGTTCTAAGTATGAACTATGTATCGTTTAGGTTCGAAAAAACTCGTTTGGTTTCGGTACTGTTGAATGGACTATGTAAAATATCTCTATGTTCAATCTAGTTTGTTCGAGTCTTGTTTAAATTTGTCTTCAAAGTTTGTTCAAAAAATTAGCTAAATATTGAACGCTTATTTTGAGAAAAATTGAAAATTTTCTGACCCATGCATAAAAATGTTCACAATATATTTAAAAAATTTGCATCGAATATACATAGCACAGAATAAGGTATGCAATTATCGGAAAATTGTAGAATAAAAAAATCATGAAAACACATAAAATAAAAAATAAAAAATGTATGTAAATGTTTATAAAGTGTTTTAGAAATGTTCAGATTTTGTTTAAATATGTCCATATAGCAAAGCCGGTGGATAAAAAAATTGAAATTTTGAAATAAAAATATAACAAATAAAAAACAAAAAAATTAAAAAGGTGAGATATTTTAATTCATTAACATTTTCTGAAATATTATTAAATTCATTAACATTTATGAATCAGAGAATATTTTTAAATTCATTAACATATATGAATGAATACAAGAATTTTTAAATTCATTTACATTTTCCGAAATATTTTTAAATTATTTAAATTTATTAACCAGAGAATATTTATAATTCATTAATATTTATGAATCCGAGAATTTTTGAATTCATTAACATTATCTGAAATAGTTTTAAATTCATTAACATATATGAATGAATACAAGAATTTTTAAATTCATTAACATATATGAATGAATACAAGAATTTTTAAATTCATTTACATTTTCTGAAATATTTTTAAATTATTTAAATTTATGAACCAGAGAATATTTATAATTCATTAATATTTATGAATCCGAGAATTTTTGAATTCATTAACATGATCTGAAATAGTTTTAAATTCATTAACATATATGAATTTTCTGGAAAATGGTGGAAAATCTATACGGACTCGAAACGGGACAAATTTTTGCGTGCGTGCCCTGCTAGGGCACAGTAGCACGTGGAAAAAAGTGGGCACGTTTGGCGGATGCGAAGCGGAGACGTGTGACCGAGGGTCCCCTCCGGCCATACCGAAACCACCCCCTTCCACAGCAAGTACCTGAGCGGTTTGACGGATTGCACCCAACTTCTGCGAGCGCGTGTGGGGCCCCACCCGGGCACCCCACGGCCAAAATGAACGAAATCCGATAACGAACGCACGTTGCGTCACGTCCGGGCAGTATTTTTCTGGGTTTTCTGCCCGGAAAATGGTAGAAAATCCA